TAGGGATTTTTATTACCCATCTTACTCTTTATTACATGTATTTATGTTTTCAAGGTGAAATGTAATTACACCAAAGGTCACTCCATGAAGTGAAAATAGGAAGGAAACTATGACGCATGGAGGGAGCCAGGAGGAAAGAAAATTAATGCTAATAGTATACAGAGATCTTGCTCAGAACAAAGAGACTGTTTCTGCTTAAAATTCCGGATACATCCACTAGAACTGGTCAATGAACTATTCATATAAGGCTTAAAAATTAGACAATTCATTGGTAACGGACTTGGAAGTGTGTTCCTGCCGATGTGTTTAGCAGTTCTGCTTTGTCTTAATGTCTTAATATTTGAAGCCGAGTTTAAGTGGCATCAATAGGAATGCACTCCTATTAAAAATGAGGCTAGCAGCAGGGCCCAGTGTTCTGCAATCTTCTTTGTTTCTATGGTCAGGCATTCTTCTCACCAGCCTGAACCAGAAGATTTGCCCTCATGCACCAGTAGAGACTTTTGTTTCTCGTGTATGCCTTTGAGATACCTGCTTTGAATTATTTTCTCAGCACCATCCATTTATCATCGTTTTAAAACTTTAATGCACATTTTAGGTATTCAGTGAGCATCAGTCTGATTCTACCAGATTCATCTGTAATCCTTATATGAAGTTGTGGTATTCTCCAGGGTGAATTATTTTTATGGTACTTTGATATTCTCCCTGAAGCTGGGATCTCACTAAGGAAAAAGCCTATTCTATTTGTGATCAGCACTGCCTGTGGAAAGTCTGCTTATCATAGGATAAGTGAAGAAAGTACAGAGTTGTGGAGGAGCAGGTGACTTGGTTCATAGAGCTCCCAAATCCCAAAAGACTGCGTCACTGAAACAGACACTCCGTGGAAGCTGAAGACACAGCAGTTCAAAGTCAGACCGGGCTTTGCAATGACGCCGAGACAATTAATAAATAAGCACTGAAAACATTAAGAAAACTAAAAATCATTAAGTTTTCAAAGAAGCTGTGGTACAAAAGACAAAAGCAGAAGAGTTGTCATCTCAAATATGTGCCATGTGATACATGGATTCTGAATTTGTAATGAAGGTCAAGGTCATTTCACAACATAAATATAAGGGATTTTTTCATCTTTTTTGTAGAAAAAGAGAGGTACTTTTATAGTATCAATAGTTTTATTGTAACAACTGGTAAAAATATTAGATTTTTAACTAAATCTAGATGATAGCAGTCTGTAGTTACTCAGTAATAGATCATTTGAAACAACAGCAGGCTCTATGTATAATCCTTTTATAAAATTATGGGACGGTTACACAGTAAGCCTCTCTTAAATGACCTTCTAGAAAGGCAAAGGAGGAAACATTGAATCAAACTGCAGGGAGTTCATTTCTATGAAGGGCAGAGATGATAATGTACAGGCAGACACTTTCCTTTCTAATCATCTTACTCCATTCAGTGGTAGAACCTGGAAGTACCAGATAGGCAGCTAAAATGCCCATTAACCTGTCACAATCAAATATCAGATGTCTTAAATGAATCTTCAAGCAGTGTTGAAAGAAAGCCAAGATATAAATGAATTTTCTCTTAGATTTGTGTAATGCCTTTTTGTAGCACAAAGAGAGAGATGTCCTTTTTAATGTCAGATATAAGAAGGAATGACTTTGGTCTTCTAGTTTAATGCCCATAGTGAACTTTACAAAGCTTTAGTTAGATCTGAAAATGACTTAGTTTTCCATGAACCACATATTTTTAAGAGTCTTTCTTACTTACAAAGTGTATGTTATGCTTTTATAATTATATTAAAAACAAGCATTTTCACTATGGATTGATGTTAACTTTGCATACAGTATGAGGATTTTTAAAGTCAAATTAAATTCCATATAATATACTATGGGCTATAACAAAGGGAACACATTTTTTTAGGAACAAATGAAATCTTAAAACTCACTTTTAAATAATGTTGACAAATAATGCCCTTGCTAACAGAACAGATATTGTACACTGACATTTCAAGGAAAATAATTAATGTGTTGTATTAAATGTTATAATGGTTTTTGGCCTGCATGTGACTATGTACCGTGGTCATGTAGTGCTTGCAGCGACCACAAGAGGGTGCTGGATCCCCCGGGACTGCAGTTATGGAGAGTTGTGAGTAGGAATATTGACCTTGGAGCTTGAATTTTGGGTCATCTGGAAGAGCATCCAGTGAGCTCTCTCGCTGAATATCTCTCTGACTTTATCATTTGCATCATTAACACTATAACTGCCTGCTACATTCTAATAAACTCCAATACAAGCCCTTAACCGATAATAAATAACAATAAGTATTTCTCTATTTAGCCACTTGTAGATAACTTAATTTTGTTTACAAAATTATTGGAATACATTTTTCTGTAGTAAACACTATTTTATGGTTTATGGTAATAAAACAAAACTGAAATTTCTCACATTTATTCAATTATAATTTTACTATATATTATAGGGTCTGGAATTTGAAAAATAGTTTAGTAAAAAGCATTGTTCCCAAGCAAAATGTAGAGGTCAAAAGTGTTGTACTCATTTTTCAAGCAAACAAGACTCTCTTGAATAGTAAATGAAGGCTGGTCAGTAAATTAAAAGATGGACAGAGGGATATTACTGTGTAAATATGGATGCTAGAAGCAATGAAGGTGAAATAGTCTGAGACAAGGGTGTGAGAGTGTGCAGAGACAGCACAGGACATTCAGGACAGTAAAAGTAATTTGGAATAATTTAAGTTGATGGTATTCAAACCGTAAAATGTGCTCGGACAGAAAGGTGATAACACACCGAGGTTCTTAACTGTCAGGCAGTAGGACTGGAGTTTACAGGGAAAGTGATGATATTTGCAGTTATACAGCCACGGTGAGAAGAAATAGTCATGAACTTATTTTGAGAAATAAAAAAATTGCTGATAAAAATATTCCTAGTAACATAAGAAATGCTTTCAGAATTTGATATGGTCTTAGTCAGAGAACATAGGAAATATATCTACGCATTCTGCAGAGTTTGAAAGTTATTCTGGGTAGCATTCAACAATGTGCCTGCTCCCTCTGAAATCAGGAGACACATATCAGTGTCTCCCAAAGAGGTACAAGTAGAGACCAGACAGCTGGGTCGCAGAGCAGATCAAGTGACTGACACAAAGTTACTGGGAAAGAAAGATGATAGCTGAGGTAGGTGACATCTCCAGATACTCGACATTTAGAAAATTCATCAATGAAATAAATTTAAAAATAACTGTCTAAGTCCAAGCATATGATACTGTGCAGGACATGCCAAAAGTTCTGATCATGGAAAGAAAACAGGTCTCACTGAGATATTTGAAGGAGATACTTTGAAACATTTGTGTGACTGTGGACATGATAACATTTTAATTCCCTAACTAAGAGGAGTACCACAAATCTGTGGACAACCAGGGTTACACAGAGGACTTTATCTGAAAACAAAGTGAAAGAGTCCAGGCACAATCATTCCAATTGGAATGTATATCAAATACCTAGTGTTCTTAAAGAAAAATAGCTGCTTCTGAAGATCCTGGTGAGGAGAGGCCTTGGGAGGAGAAAGAATAGAGAAATCATCAGCTTAGATGCCGCCAGGACTGTGAAGAAAAGAAAATGCAGAAAGGCATCTGGGGATGCTTCAAAGTCAGGTGTCTGCATGGACAGTGTAAGGCATAGCCAGAGACAGGAAAACATGAGAAACCTGGAGAATTGGAGGCACCGTGAAACCTGGAGAAGTGGAGGCACCGTGAAAACAAAGAGGAAGAAATGCTTACTGAAGGGAAGGATAGTTCTGCTGGATAAGACATGAACACTTGCTCCTGAAGGGTCAAGAGATCCCTGTGCAATTGTGGAGAGTGAGTTATTTACCTTGTGTAGGAAATTTATGAGATGACATTTTGCCTTTCTCATTCTTTTTAAATTGTATGAATTCTTTCTTTTTGTTGACGTTCTTTTCTTCAGTTTAATAATTTGGCTTGATAACGTAATATTTTCTTTAAACATGCTGGGTTTTTTATGAGTGAGAAAGTAAATTTTTGGTGTAGAAATCATTATCAAAGTTGTTTGAGAAGATTGCTTTTTCTGATAGAAGATACATTCTAAGTAACCTGTCAGCATCTGACTATGTAACAACTACATCAATAAAAATACAAAACAAAAATGAATCGTACTCTGCCCCATAATCAATTTAATGTTGGATAGAAGAATTTTTCTCATGAATTGAAGTTTGATGACACTACAATAATGGTAAAATTTCAGAAATATATAGACATTTACTTTAATTTCTGTCACATAAGGAATCACCCACAAAGAGAAAAAAAGAAGGGAGCACACAGCCTCCACAAGTCTGCAGCAGGTCCACCGAGTATATGTTATAGCTTTCAGTTTAGTGATTTTACAGGACTCCTTAGTGTGTGCATGAGAGGGCACTTGGCTCTCATGCCTTCTCTTGGGCTGTTTTCCTTCTGTTGATTTGCCTTGTTCAGCTTCAGTGGCCTTTTGTTTGTTGTAGATGATTATATTTTATTTTGTTATGTTTTATTGTTATCTTTTAGAATCCCGTTCTTTTCTAATGAGAGAAAGAAAGGGAGTAGATCCAGGAGGCAGGAGGAGTGGAGGGAAGGAGATCTGTATCCGGATGTGTTATATGGGAAAATAAACTATTTTCTACTAAAGGAGAAAAAATTAAAAATAACAGCCAAAAGATAACTAAAAGTGATGGATAAAATATTGTGAAAGGATACCTTGTATGTAAGTGCCCTGTGGGCAGGTTATCATGTAAAATGAGAAGATGGATACCACAAAGTAGCAAGTACAGAAACTCTACCATAAATCAGCAAATACAGAAACTCTGCTCTTAGGTTTTTAAATGAGTTGTCGGCATGCTTTCATTCATATGCTGACATGACAAACGTGATGAATCTGTACTTCACTTTCCATCAACACAAATAAACTCTAGCTTTTTTTTTCCTGCGTCTTTGTGAACAGAGCCCAGATGGCCGTATCGAAGTCAAAGGGCAGCGTGGCCACTCGTCATTGCACATCAGAGATGTGCAGTTATCGGATTCAGGGAGATATGACTGTGAGGCTGCGAGCAGGATTGGTGGGCACCAGAGGAGCATGCACCTTGACATTGAATGTAAGTCACACTCAGTGTGTGTTGTAATTATGGTAATTTGAGCTGGTTTGACGTTTATACGACACTCTAAATGGATAGTTAGAACATTTCTTTTCAATATTTAATGCATAGCTTTAGGAGGAAAGAATCCATTCAGTCAGCTATTAGAGATAACTAGTGGAAGTTCTTGCACATTTCACAGTGATTTCTACTTATTGAACTATCAGAAAATAGTGACTACTCTCCTTTGAAATATTTGAATGAAAATGCTAGATCAACTGATGCATACTTGTTTTTGATAATCAAATTCTTAAACCATGTTTCTGTTTGTGTGTGCCAGCATGCACGTGTATGTCTCTGTGTAGGTGCATGTTTGTGTTCATAAGCCAAAGTCCTAGATATGTAGTTGTGTTTTCATTACTTCTGCATTTTGTTGAATTAATTGGCATCAACATAATATATAAAATACAGTGATATTTGTCAAACATTATACTTCATCAAAATGTGCTTATTGTCTGTAAATTATGAATTTTAAAAGTGTAATTATAAAAGAAACTGTAAATGGTTTTCATGACTAGGTGAGTCCAAGACTATGTGGAATCCTATAACTACATGCGTAAAGAGTAATATAATATATTTCTATTCATGTTATTAAAAGAGAAGAAATGTAAGGTCATTTTCAGCAATTACTTGTGAATTAGGAATTCTGAATGCTAGCTGACACCTGAAGAACATTAACTGTCTTTTTGAACTGTTTGAAGCACTCTTGTTTACAAAATAGTTTATCATGGTATTTTCACTACATAAAAATTCATAGAAAGTAATAATACCTGTTAGTCATGATACAGCTCATATTGAGAATTTCTTTCAAAAAAGAAACAAGCTCAGTGTGAATAAACTCCATCATTTACATACTTAACCAGCTGTGCTAATAACAGTTTCAAGAAAGCTATTTTGCTAACATCACAAGCATCTTAACAATTAGCCCCACAAAAGTTTTGAATGGCTAATAACGCACAAACCTCAGTTACATGCCTTCTTCTGAGACATATCTGGTCTATTCATTTGTCCTTTTCTAAATCAGGTTGATTCCTGTTGATTAACGTGCGTTCCGTATGTACTTTGTCGTTTACTTCTTTATGAAGCCTTTGGTTTGCACAGAGTTCCTCTACTGTGTGATGTGCTCTGCTCACTCACTCTCATGCCCGTATGTGCATCAATAGAGTATCAAATTCTCATTGTTACCATATGGTTAGAATTTATATATCTTCAGTCATTTAATATGCTTGTTGTTTTTGAAGTTAGATGTTAAAGAATAACATGTGCAAATATATCTTTATCTATCATACATATTTAAATTCTTTTTTCATAGCCAAATTGCAATCTATGAAATATATAATGCTGAAGTTTTATTGCTACATTTTACCTCATACTTGATTTTGCTATGACTCTTCACATCTATAATTCCTTCTTCAGCTTTGGAAATTTAATTTTATGCTAAATTTTAAGATTCATTTTTAGTTCACTTTGAAAACTATCTTCTTTCTTTTTCAAAGCATATATCTAGATGACAAATGCTTTCTTTTTCTGAAAGTTTGACAATGATTGATGATAAACTATTTAAAAATTGTCAATTTTATATTTTAATTGATATATATTTTGTATTTGTTTTCTATTTTGCTGATGTTTGTCTTACCTTATTATTCCCCTAATTTTATAATTTATAGATTCACTTTACTCTTTGTATTAAGTTTTTTAATGTGACATCTTAGGTAAGTTATTTAATATATTTCATATTTTATAAAGCAGACATATAACAATCACTATTTCTTACAATGTTTTAACCAAATTCCAAACACTGACATTTGTTGAATTCTTATGCATTCCAGTAACCCCTCTTTATTAGCTAATATTTGAATATTGTTAAGGAATACTTAGAGTGAAATTTGTTTACAACATTATATAAACCTTAGAGTATTCATCTTAACCATTTACAGATATTTTCAAGAACTGAAGAGAAAGCCATAGCATCTTTTTGGTCTGCCCGCATCCTTAACGCTCTAAAGCTACTCACCCTGATTGTGATTGTTCTCCATTCCTTTTGCATTTGCATGTGTCGTTGTGTAGTTCCCTACACATGATTCTGCCTCAGTCTGTAGTTCAAGCTGAGCAGGAACTCATGGCAATCCTTATCCATCTACCTATAGAGGGCTGGGGTTGCAAGTGTGTGCATTCCCACTGAGGTTTCTTTTCATATTGTGTATAATGTTGATTTCCAGAAAACTCAGTTCCTGAACAAATTTTCTGGTTTTGGTGAGAATTTTCTTTGACTTTTCTCCAATGAGATGGTTCCTCTGTCTTGTAGCCTATGTTTCTAAAGAGAAATTTATATAATTTTCTCTGCTTTTCCTTGGAAAATTTATATCTTTTTTCAATTTGAGGTTATGTATTACCTTCATTATTTATCAGTTTCATTAGAATGTGTCCAGATATGAGCTTCTTTGAATTCCCCCAACATGATGTACCGAAATACTTCAAACTATGGAATTACAGTTGTCAGCATGCTTGAATAGTTTGGTGTCAGTTCAAGACATAAGTAATCCACCTAAATGCTCTTTCATCTGTGGCTATGCATACATACATGTACACATGGTCTCATGCACACACACACACACACACACACACACACACACACAAAGTTATAAGTATGAGATCTTTTAAAATTATCTCAGAGGTCAGTGAGATACTTTTGAAACTTCGGTATTAGATATCTGGAAATTAGTTCATTTAATTTGTTTTACATTAATTTATCAGACAACCCAGTAGCCGATTCCATGTTATAGAGGCCACACAGTGACTGCTTTGTTCTACTGTAGATATTATTTAATTTTAATAATTACCACAATTTATATTGCTACTTTCTTTGGTGTTCATTTAAAGCTTTGGTCTGTTGGCTTTAGTCTGACCAGTGAAAGGAAAAGTTTCAGGCTTTTAGACATTTCTGTGGCATTCTACACAGTATTTTGGCACTGCCATTTCTGAAAGCCACACAGGATTACCTTCATTCCTTTCCTCATGGGCTGGCTCCTTTCAAAGAATCTCTGCCCTTCTGGACTTGCTACATCTAGATTGCTTAGACTGGTACAGACTGAACAAAACCTGAGAAAAGGCAAACACACTAGATACAGGACAGCAGTGGGTTTGTTTTTGTTTGTTTGTTTTGTTATTTTCCCTTATGATCTCTCTGATTTTACTTTATTGTTTACAGAGTCATCATATTGTTTTCTATTTTTTAAGCAGAATATGGATATATGTCTTTAACCCCACCGCCACCCAGTGTTGAAACTTTTTTTTTAATTAGAAACAAGCTTACTTCACATGTCAATTCCAGCTCCCTCTCTGTCCCATCCTCTCCCCTCAGGCCCCTTAGCCACCCACCCAATCCCCACTATGTTCCCCAGAGTCTGTCATTTCATTCAGGGAAGGGCCTAGCGCCTCCCCCAAGAGTTCAGGCTGCGAGAGCATCCCTGATTGTGGCATGGACACCCAAAGTCCTTTTGTATGCCTGGGATAAATACTGATCCAAGGCCCCATAGATTGCTTAGGCCTCCTCACTGAAACCCACATTCAGGAAGTCTAGATCAGTTTCATGCTGGCCTCCCAGCCATTAGTCTGGGGTCCAAGACAAATTCTTATAAGCCTATGGAAACAGGCAATGGTGGAACTGATATTGGGTCATCAATGACATACATAGCACCACCCTATGTTCTGTTTCATCTATTTCATTATGTTCATCTCATAATTAAAGTAGCCATGTGTGGTGGTTCACTTGCATACACAACATTCAAGAAGCTGTGGCATGAGAATCACTATAATTTTAAGGCATGGACTACTTAAAACACTCTAATTTTGATAGGGTTATTGATCAATTATTGAATATAACTGCTTGCTAACATAGTAAGCATACCTATATGCACTAACTTTTATAGGAGACTATATAACTTAATAATTAAAACAGTAGAGTGAGAATTATAATTATCATTTTGAATGTAGTCACATTAATTTACAACAAAGAGCACAAAAGTAATACAACACAAAGTATGAATTATGATCAAGGAAATCTATCAATAATAGGGTTTTTAAGTAATAAAAAGTTATAGTAATACACTGATGAGCACTTGAGAGGCCATGAAAATGACTGTCTTAAAGAACACTCATACAGTACATATGTCTGACATCCTTCTATCATACACCTTTGAGTAGAGAACTGCAAGAAGATGATGGAAATTTTAAGCATTACAAAGTGTGACAAGTAGCTACCATAGAAGTCTTTCTGCAAACCAAACATACAATTTTAAAGTGTCCATACAGTTGTAAAGAATCAAGCCAGTTCTAATTGGAAACCTGTGTCATTTACTACAGTAGCACCGATATGAGAGTGTTAAAAGATAAAGCTCTTGTGTTTTTAAAGCAAGCAGATTTCTTGGCATTCTGCCTGTTCATTTGGGATGTTTCAAAGGCGTCACCTTATTCTGAAGCCAGAGTTGAACTGAAGTTGTAATTTAGAAAACAAAAGAGATAACATGCCTAAGTCCTGTGTTTTATATAGTATGTCTGATTCTGATTAGCTTGTCATTACATTCTGTGTCTAATTATTACATATTAACTAATAATTAGACTTAATTCTTTTGTGATAAATTTAATTTAACAGTCATAAGTTAAGAAATATTGAGTCTTTTCACAATTCCTTTTTTCTAATTTATTATTTTTAAATTTTAAAACCATCTTATTTTACATACCAATCCCAGCTCCCTCTCCCTCTCATCCTTCCTGTGCTTCCGCCAACTTCTCCCCTCCCCAACCCCATCCACTCCCCTTGGAGGGCAATGCCTCCCATGGGGTATCAACAGTCTGTCCCATCTCTTGAGGTAGGCTCAAGGCTCCCCCCATCCCTATATCTAGGCTGAGAAAGGATTCCCTCCATAGGGAATAGACTCCAAAAAGACAGATCATGCACTAGG